AATTTGTTATGTTGTATGCGTGCGTGGGTGAAATTATTATGTTGTATATGTGGGTTATGAATATTCAGTGGAAATAATAATAATTAAATGAAATTTGGCCAAATGTGTAATTATCCGGAAATATGTTAATTTATGTAATTACGCACATTTTAATTATGCCAATTCGAGAGGTAATCGTATTAATTATGCGAGTGGGTGTAATTATGATAACGCAAGTCGTTATGATAACCAGACCCCGGTTCACCCCGTTATCGCTTTAACATTTACTTAGTATGTATTAGTGTGTTTATTAAGGTCACCAAGTTCAAATCTCAACGCAGAAGCAGATCTTATGCATAGATTTCAGGAAAGAATCACACAACCACTTCTGTATTAATCAATTTATTACTAATTCAACCTTAACTATGATATAATATGCGAACTCTCAATCCCGGAACGTCAACACGGCATCAATACAGTATCATCAACGATTGTCTGATTTCACTTTGACAACTGCACATGGATCCCGCATAACGCGATGGTTGTTAGTGAGAGAGAGAGTCGTTAAAACACGCAAATACTATGCTAAGAAAACCTTAATGTTAATGAATGATTATACTCAATATTGTTCATAACGCGATGGTTGTTAGTGAGAGAGAGAGAGTCGTTGAAATATGCAAATACTATGCTAAGAAAACCTTAATGTTAATGAATGATTATACTCAATATTGTTCATAACGCGATGGTTGTTAGTGAGAGAGAGTCGTTGAAATATGCAAATACTATGCTAAGAAAACCTTAACGCTAATGAATGATTACTCAATATTGTTCACGCAGTACCACACTCCTTATTGACCATACGCAACCCTTATCACGTTGTTAGCACCTTGGGTCACGGGACAGTTGAATATTTGTAGAGGATGCGAGTACGTGCGGCGATTATGATTAAAAGATACTTGAAAGATTATACGGCGATAAAAAAAAAACACAATCAAAACAGTTATTATTCTTAAAGGCACCAATCTCAACAGATACATCGGCAGGTTATCTGACAACAGAACGGCTCGGAGTAAGGGCCTGCGACGGTGCTCCTTTTCCGAAGCTCGTTATCTTATACCAAGTTTACTAATTGGGGACCAGATCACCTGATAAGGATCCGGTGGGCCACCACTCCCCACGTGAGCGTGGCTCGGCGGAAGGAGGTGCCAAGAATCAGTTCGTATTGATGGATCTGTTGGGAATTTATGCGATTAAGAGTACAGCCCACTAAATATTAAAGATAAAAATTAAGAACACTCTTATAAACGACGGAGGGCCATCACTCGGTCTCGTTGTGATGCTTTCCAGCCACGGATGGCTTATGGGTTCGAGTGTTTTTGAGTGGTAAGAGTTGTCTTGAATAGTCAGTGTTCGGAGTCGATTCTTTAGGTCAAACAGACGCCTGGTGGTCGTGTGGTGAGGGGGCGGTGCGCGTCATACGTATCAGTCGATCCCCTGTCACCGTGGCGAACTGGTTCGGATGCCCGTTGATACGCTGTCGCAGTTCGGAACCCGGTCGGTAGGTGGCGCCCACAACTCGCTCGTAGCGTGCAGCTCTGGGTTGTCGCCGAACGCGATGCTCACCACTCCGGTGGCAGCAGAGACCCCCGATTCGGCAGAGGTTGACGAGCTGAAGATGAGTCGAGCCGACCCGCTGGTCGCAGCTCGCTCCTGAGTCGACCCTCCCGGTCGAGCTCGCTCCTGGGTCGACCCGCTGGTCGCCCTCGCTCCTGAGTCGACCCTCTGGTCGCACTCCTGAGTGGACCCGCTGGTCGCACTCCTGAGTGGACCCACTCTGGTTGCACTCGTTCCTGAGTCGACCCTCCCGTCGCACTGGTTTCCAATGCTCAGGATCCTTTACTTTATGCCGAAAAATCCCCCTGGATCCCGCCCACAAGGCGGGACTTCTTTCGATTTTTTTTGTGTCAGGATCTGTCCGTAGGCAGGTGTGTCCATGTGTGTGTCCGTACGTCCGTGTGTCCTTGTGTGCATCACTGACGGTATATTCCGTTGTCACACTCCCTCCATAAAACCCACGAGCAAACAATCAGATGTTACAAATTGCCTCGAGGTCGTCTCTCTGTCTGGGCGCAACATTATCTCCTGTCTGGCCTTCCCCATGAACCCAAAACACAGACGTCACAAATGTCTCATAGGCGTCTTTGTTCGCACCACCTGGAGGGAGGGGCAACGCTCTCTCCGACCCGGCGCACAAAGAAATGGCCAAAAGTTTTAAGTTAACATTTGTCCCTTACTATTTCACAGCCATGATTCCGCATGTAACCCAAGGTCTGTCGTTTCCCATCGTGGTGCCCGACCCAAGTGGAGGCGTCTCCCCGAGCGTACACACACTCCCATCCCGCGCTGCGGGGATACAAAGACGGCCGGGATCTCCCTTTCTCTCCGACCCTGGGTTTAACATCGTTTTTTTATTATGTATTTATATTCGACCTGGTGGTGATTCATCCCGTTATCCTGGCTTTTCATAAGTTTTACTTTTGTCTTTTCATGCATATGCTTCGGGTCGAGTTGTATAGAAAGCATTAAAGTATGGAAATAACATTTCATATTGACTTAATGATGGTGATGGTTCAGTAGGCGTACTTGTGACCTGGTTTAATTGGAGTGGGTGTGAATATCAACTTTAGCCTACCCTGTTGTTAAATTCCGACTTTAACGTTACTTTAATAGCAATACAGAATAATTGAGCTTTTTGTCTTAACTAGGCGAACGCGAACTTCTGGTGACCCCCGCACTGTCTCTGCCTCCCCCCCCCTGTGCACACAGCCTTGAGCTGACCCACTTAATTTAATTCTTGGCCTTCTTGGGTTTATCTATGTTTCCTCAGCTGCAGGAGAACAAGGCGTGCTTCTACCTCCCTTTCTGTGTGCACGTGTTCTAATTAGCTCGGAATCCCTAACACACAATCAGTGATGATTCCTGGCTTTCTGTGGTTATGACTTAGACAAAGGCGCCTCTGCTTCCTTTCACTGCCTTTGCCTTGAAGCAAGGTTGCAATTCTGTCATCCTAGCCCTCCTCTCGTTCATTACTTAACAACACCTGGTGTTTTGCAGTTTGGTGCGCTTTGGTGTGTTTCACTCATTAAAAAAAACAAGTAAAAAGATAATATATAAAAATCATCAAATATTATTAATCTCAATTATGGAAGAAGGGTTAGGATACAACACCTTGAATGTTGCTCTCTCTCTCTAACGAGTCTCTGTGACAGCTTCTTGTGGGGGAGCTCACGGCAGCTCTGCAGCTCCTCGTTCCAGTCGCGCGCCTGCAGCGGCAGCAACAACAACAACATTGTCAACAACATCATCAACATCGTCAACAACAACAACATCGTCAACAACAACATCAACAACAACAACATTACGTGAGCGCCTGAGTGGCTGAGTGGGTGAGTGAGTGGCTGAGTGGGTGAGTGAGTGAGTGGGTGAGTGAGTGGGTGAGTGAGTGGGTGAGTGAGTGAGTGGCTGAGTGAGTGAGTGGCTGAGTGAGTGAGTGGCTGAGTGGGTGAGTGAGTGGGTGAGTGGGTGGGTGAGTGAGTGGCTGAGTAGGTGGGTGAGTGGGTGAGTGAGTGGCTGAGTGAGTGAGTGGCTGAGTGGGTGAGTGAGTGGGTGAGTGGGTGGGTGAGTGAGTGGCTGAGTAGGTGGGTGAGTGGGTGAGTGGGTGAGTGGGTGGGTGAGTGAGTGAGTGGCTGAGTGGGTGAGTGAGTGGCTGAGTGGGTGGGTGAGCGCCTGAGTGGCTGAGTGGGTGAGTGAGTGGCTGAGTGAGTGGGTGAGTGGGTGAGTGAGTGAGTGGGTGAGTGGGGGAGTGAGTGGGTGAGTGAGTGGGTGAGTGAGTGGCTGAGTGAGTGAGTGGCTGAGTGGGTGAGTGAGTGGGTGAGTGGGTGGGTGAGTGAGTGGCTGAGTAGGTGGGTGAGTGGGTGAGTGGGTGGGTGAGTGAGTGAGTGGCTGAGTGGGTGAGTGAGTGGCTGAGTGGGTGGGTGAGTGACTGAGTGGGTGAGTGAGTGTGTGAGTGAATGAGTGACTGAGTGAGTGCGTGAGTGAGTGAGGGGCTGAGTGAGTGAGTGGCTGAGTGAGTGAGTGGATGAGTGAGTGGGTGAGTGAGTAGCTGAGTGGGTGAGTGAGTGAGTGGGTGAGTGAGTGTCTGAGTGAGTGCGTGAGTGGGTGAGTGGGTGGGTGGGTGAGCGGGTGAGTGGGTGAGTGGTGAGTGAGTGGGTGGGTGAGTGAGTGGGTGGGTGAGTGGTGAGTGTGTGATGAGTGGTGAGGGTGTGGTGAGTGAGTGGTGAGTGAGTGGTGAGTGAATGGTGAGTGAGTGGTGAGTGATGAGAGTGGTGAGTGAGTGTGTGGTGAGTGAGTGAGTGTGTGGTGAGTGAGTGAGTGAGTGGTGAGAGTGGTGAGTGAGTGGTGAGTGTGTGGTGAGTGAGTGGTGAGTGAGTGGTGAGTGAATGGTGAGTGAGTGGTGAGTGATGAGAGTGGTGAGTGAGTGTGTGGTGAGTGAGTGAGTGTGTGGTGAGTGAGTGAGTGGTGAGAGTGGTGAGTGAGTGGTGATAGGGAACCGGTTCCCATAGAAAGTCTATGGGACAATGTTAAGAGATAGGGAACCGGTTCCCGTAGAAAGTCTATGAGACAATGTTAAGAGATAGGGAACCGGTTCCCATAGAAAGTCTATGGGACAATGTTAAGAGATAGGGAACCGGTTCCCATAGAAAGTCTATGGGACAATGTTAAGAGATAGGGAAGGGTGGTGAGTGGTGAGCGGTGGTGGTGAGCGGTGGTGGTGAGTGGTGGTGAGTGGTGACTGAATGGTGGTGAGCGGTGGTGAGCGGTGGTGAGCGCTGGTGAGTAGTGGTGAGTGGTGGTTACCGGTGCTGGTGAGTGGAGAGTAGTGAGTAGTGAGTGGTGAGCGGTGGTGAGTGGTAGTGGTGAGTGGTGGTGGTGGTGAGTGGTGGTGAGTAGTGGTGAGTGGTAGTGGTGAGTGGTGGTGGTGGTGAGCGGTGAGTGGTGGTGAGTAGTGGTGGTAGTGGTGAGTAGTGGTGGTAGCGGTGAGTAGTGGTGATAGGGGGGGGTGGTGATGGTGGTGGTGATGGTGGTGATGGTGGTGATGGTGGTGGTGATGGTGGTGATGATGGTTGTGGTGATGGTGATGGTGGTAGTGGTGATGGTGGTGATGGTGGTGATGATGATGGTGGTGGTGATGATGGTGATGATGGTGATGCTGGTGGTGATGGTGGTGATTGATGGTGATGGTGGTGATGGTGGTGATGGTGGTGGTGATGGTGGTGATGATGGTGGTGGTGGTGGTGATGATGGTTGTGGTGATGGTGATGGTGGTGATGGTGGTGATGGTGATGATGGTGATGGTGGTGGTGGTGGTGGTGATGGTGGTGGCACCTAAAGAAGTTGTTGTTCCAGATGAACATGTGTGAGCGGGGCTCCTCCCCCAGGTTGATGGCCATCACCGCCACCACCACCATCACCACCACCATCACCACCACCACCATCACCACCACCACCATCACCACCACCACCATCACCACCACCACCACCACCACCACCGCCCCCACCACCGCCATCACCAACGTCACCACCACCATCACAACCACCACCACCACCACCACCATCGCCACCACCCAGCCCCCACCACCGCCATCACCAACATCACCACCACCATCACCACCATCACCACCATCACCACCACCATCACCACCACCACCATCACCACCACCATCATCACCACCACCACCATCATCACCACCACCACCACCACCACCGCCACCATCACCACCACCACCACCATCACCACCACCACCACCATCATCATCAACACCACCATCACCACCATCATCATCACCACCATCACCACCACCATCACCATCACCACCACCACCATCATCACCATCACCACCATCACCACCACCACCCCCATCACCACCACCCCCACCCCCACCACCCCCAACATCACCACCACCACCACCATCACCACCATCACCACCACCATCACCACCACCACCACCACCATCACCACCATCACCTCCCCCACCACCTCCACCACCACCACCACCACCACCGCCACCATCACCATCACCACCGCCACCATCACCACCACCATCATCACCATCACCACCACCATCACCACCACCATCACCACCATCACCACCACCACCGCCACCGCCATCACCACCCCCATCACCACCACCATCACCACCACCATCACCATCACCACCACCACCACCATCATTACCACCATCACCACCCCCATCACCACCATCACCATCACCACCACCATCACCACCATCACCACCACCACCACCACCTTGAATGTTGCTCTCTCTCTCTAACGAGTCTCTGTGACAGCTTCTTGTGGGGGAGCTCACGGCAGCTCTGCAGCTCCTCGTTCCAGTCGCGCGCCTGCAGCGGCAGCAACAACAACAACATTGTCAACAACATCATCAACATCGTCAACAACAACAACATCGTCAACAACAACATCAACAACAACAACATTACGTGAGCGCCTGAGTGGCTGAGTGGGTGAGTGAGTGGCTGAGTGGGTGAGTGAGTGAGTGGGTGAGTGAGTGGGTGAGTGAGTGGGTGAGTGAGTGAGTGGCTGAGTGAGTGAGTGGCTGAGTGAGTGAGTGGCTGAGTGGGTGAGTGAGTGGGTGAGTGGGTGGGTGAGTGAGTGGCTGAGTAGGTGGGTGAGTGGGTGAGTGAGTGGCTGAGTGAGTGAGTGGCTGAGTGGGTGAGTGAGTGGGTGAGTGGGTGGGTGAGTGAGTGGCTGAGTGGGTGGGTGAGTGGGTGAGTGGGTGAGTGGGTGGGTGAGTGAGTGAGTGGCTGAGTGGGTGAGTGAGTGGCTGAGTGGGTGGGTGAGCGCCTGAGTGGCTGAGTGGGTGAGTGAGTGGCTGAGTGAGTGGGTGAGTGGGTGAGTGAGTGAGTGGGTGAGTGAGTGGGGGAGTGAGTGGGTGAGTGAGTGGGTGAGTGAGTGGCTGAGTGAGTGAGTGGCTGAGTGGGTGAGTGAGTGGGTGAGTGGGTGGGTGAGTGAGTGGCTGAGTAGGTGGGTGAGTGGGTGAGTGGGTGGGTGAGTGAGTGAGTGGCTGAGTGGGTGAGTGAGTGGCTGAGTGGGTGGGTGAGTGACTGAGTGGGTGAGTGAGTGTGTGAGTGAGTGACTGAGTGCCTGAGTGAGTGTCTGAGTGGGTGAGTGAGTGTGTGAGTGAATGAGTGACTGAGTGAGTGCGTGAGTGAGTGAGGGGCTGAGTGAGTGAGTGAGTGGCTGAGTGAGTGAGTGGATGAGTGAGTGGGTGAGTGAGTAGCTGAGTGGGTGAGTGAGTGAGTGGGTGAGTGAGTGTCTGAGTGAGTGCGTGAGTGGGTGAGTGGGTGGGTGGGTGAGCGGGTGAGTGGGTGAGTGGTGAGTGAGTGGGTGGGTGAGTGAGTGGGTGGGTGAGTGGTGAGTGTGTGATGAGTGGTGAGTGTGTGGTGAGTGAGTGGTGAGTGAGTGGTGAGTGAATGGTGAGTGAGTGGTGAGTGATGAGAGTGGTGAGTGAGTGTGTGGTGAGTGAGTGAGTGTGTGGTGAGTGAGTGAGTGGTGAGAGTGGTGAGTGAGTGGTGAGTGTGTGGTGAGTGAGTGGTGAGTGAGTGGTGAGTGAATGGTGAGTGAGTGGTGAGTGATGAGAGTGGTGAGTGAGTGTGTGGTGAGTGAGTGAGTGTGTGGTGAGTGAGTGAGTGGTGAGAGTGGTGAGTGAGTGGTGATAGGGAACCGGTTCCCATAGAAAGTCTATGGGACAATGTTAAGAGATAGGGAACCGGTTCCCGTAGAAAGTCTATGAGACAATGTTAAGAGATAGGGAACCGGTTCCCATAGAAAGTCTATGGGACAATGTTAAGAGATAGGGAACCGGTTCCCATAGAAAGTCTATGGGACAATGTTAGAGATAGGGAAGGGTGGTGAGTGGTGAGCGGTGGTGGTGAGCGGTGGTGGTGAGTGGTGGTGAGTGGTGACTGAATGGTGGTGAGCGGTGGTGAGCGGTGGTGAGCGCTGGTGAGTAGTGGTGAGTGGTGGTTACCGGTGCTGGTGAGTGGAGAGTAGTGAGTAGTGAGTGGTGAGCGGTGGTGAGTGGTAGTGGTGAGTGGTGGTGGTGGTGAGTGGTGGTGAGTAGTGGTGAGTGGTAGTGGTGAGTGGTGGTGGTGGTGAGCGGTGAGTGGTGGTGAGTAGTGGTGGTAGTGGTGAGTAGTGGTGGTAGCGGTGAGTAGTGGTGATAGGGGGGGGTGGTGATGGTGGTGGTGATGGTGGTGATGGTGGTGGTGATGGTGGTGATGATGGTTGTGGTGATGGTGATGGTGGTAGTGGTGATGGTGGTGATGGTGGTGATGATGATGGTGGTGGTGATGATGGTGATGATGGTGATGCTGGTGGTGATGGTGGTGATTGATGGGTGATGGTGGTGATGGTGGTGATGGTGGTGGTGATGGTGGTGATGATGGTGGTGGTGGTGATGGTGGTGATGATGGTTGTGGTGATGGTGATGGTGGTGATGGTGGTGATGGTGATGATGGTGGTGATGGTGATGATGGTGATGGTGGTGGTGGTGGTGGTGGTTGATGGTGGTGGCACCTAAAGAAGTTGTTTGTTCCAGATGAACATGTGTGAGCGGGGCTCCTCCCCCAGGTTGATGGCCATCACCGCCACCACCACCATCACCACCACCCATCACCACCACCACCATCACCACCCGACCACCATCACCACCACCACCATCACCACCACCACCACCACCACCGCCATCACCAACGTCACCACCACCATCACAACCA